GATGACGGCGAGAGTATATTTACATGGACATACATACTTCGCCGGCTTCACGTGTATGAGCCATGAGGAGGCGGCGCGCCTCAGCGCAGCAGGTGCGGCCGATACGCACCGAGAGCATCGGAAGACCGCACCGCGCTCAACGAATGTCGCGCAGCGAATCCGAAAGGAGGGGCTTGGGAGCGAAAAGAAGACCGTACAGACTTGGCAGGGAGCTCGGCAGGGGTATCTGTGTTTAAGCGCGGAAAGTACGACCGACTGACTGACCGACTGACTGACCGACTGACTGGGTGAGTGAGAGAAACTCTTGAGAGGTCTTTAGGAGCGAGCGAGCGTGCGTGTATTCGCGTCGGACAAACGACCCCACATATCATGAGATTGGAACGTCTTCGATGAGCAAACATTTGTCGTCGCTGTCGTCGACTAGCACCGCCATCAGCCTAAGGTCTTTCAATCCGCGGAGACACCTTCCTTTGCTTCTTTTTATCTCCCCCTATCTCTGCGCCCCGATTGCTGCCTCTGCTTGTGATGCTACTTACGGAACCAATCTCCGAGTTCATACAAAATATTTACCCAACGGGTGCAGAGCTGCGCGACAATTTTGCCTCGAGGGTAACGTCGGCGTCGGTGGACCACGCGCATTGGTCCGTCCGCCGGCCATCGATACGATCGCTGGTACGCACACAACATCTCCGATTAGCCGGCATAGAGAGAACTTGAGTATCCAACTCGCTCGAGCGCGCCGAGGATGCGGATAATTTCCCGAATTTTCTCGAAAGTGGTCGGGTGCGCAATTCGGAACATTCTTCATGTCATATTGTGCGCTGGAGCATCGGCTGCGGTGCGGCTCTCGACAAAATGTAGGATTCGTGAAGAAGCAAAAGTCATTGGATTTTCGCGAGGGGATGACGCCCGGACGGACAGACGCCGAGTCGCACACCAAATCGCTTGTCTTCAGGAAATTGTAACTCCTGGAGAGGAAGACAGAACGCACAACTGGAATCGAAAGTCAGCAATTAAACGGATTTTACCTCGCGGCCTTCCGGACTTTCTCTTATTGAATCCTCCTCCACCCGCCTATGCTCAGCCTGCTCCCGTCGTCGGCTCGGCAGCAGCCCCAATCGTCGTCGTCGCCGCCGCCGCTGGCGCCCCCGCCACCATTGTCGCCGACGTTCTCCTAGTCGGGTCGTTGGACTCCCTTGCTCCTACTAATCTCTTCGTTCTTCTGTGCGCTAGATTTCGAAAATCTGTTGACAATCCTCTCTGATGAGAAACGCACGTCCTAATTGCTGTCTTCGCTGCGTGTCCGCCGCGCACAATGTCGTGGCCGTCGTGTTCTGCCTCGCTGTAGCTGTTCCTCAGCGAGGTCCCGTACTCTCATCGTAGAAAATCATCGATCAGATACTCGCACTCGTTTTCGGAGGTCTTGGCGTCACACTGGGTTATTGCGGATCAGCTCTCGATTCGGACATCTAAACATTCGGACGTCCTTGAACTAGGAGATTCGAAGGTGTGACTAAACACGGGACGAGGATAAATTCCTCGTCGGCAGCAGTGGGAGCGGGTCTAATGAGGAGTTCCGAGCACCCGCGTAGTTCGTATAGAGACTTGTCCCGACGGTGATGGGATCACTCGCACTCGTGCCTCGATCCGGCATCAGTACTGCAATGAATACTGATGCATATAACGTGCTCCGGGAGGAACGGGGAGCGATCGGTTTGTGAATTATGGAATTCATGGCTCGGTTCGACAGATGCGATTTTAACAACTCTTAGATCTTTATTTACAAACAAACCGCGAGACGTTTCATACGTACGCACTTCCAGTGTTTTCTCACCAGTGTTCATCCGATTCCGCATGAATCAATCTACAAATCCTCACCGATCCGACTGACTGGAAGGCCGACTGACCGACAGGGCGATTGGGGCAAACATGAACAAGCGCTCGGATTCCCCTAGCGGTACGAGAGGGACTCGGCCAGGCCTTGCCTGGATGGCTGGGAGGATTCGTGGCGTGTAGCCACAAGCGGGGGGGATTACCTACAACGAATTCTTCGGTCGCCTGGAGGACTTCGACGTCTAGTCTGAGTTCAGAGCACAGAGCTATCCCATACCCCCTCTGACCACACAGTCGACCTTCGAAATCAAACTTGAGTGTTTTGTTCTTGGATGAGATCCGTGATCAGCACCGTGGATTCCGCCGTCTCCGCCGCGTGGTCAAGTTCCATGGCTAAGGGGAGAACTTCGAACGAGAGTACCATCAGCCGGTCGGTCAGTCAGTCGGTCGGTCGGTCGGTCGGTCGGTCAGTGTCCGACACCGAATCATTAATTGAATAAAGTTTTGCATAATATGTCTGTCGCTCTGTCTTTCCGTCCAAACAATCCATCGCTTGATTCTCGGGAGCAATGGCCTCACATTTCTCTCTTTCAAAGTCATCTCTTCCGGTCGAAACCGATTGAGAAAAATTGGCGTTTCGCATTCTTGATCCTCTGTATACGAAACCTCAATCGACGCTCATCTGTACCGGCTTCCTTTTTGTCACTGTGACTTTCTATCTTTTCAAGAGGAACAAGACCTTAAGTAGCATTTAGCCGTCCATTCTCTCGATTCCCTATGCTACCTATCCTTCGCTAGACGCGGGCTATGGCTGTGCTTGCATCACTGCTCCTCTTCTCTTTGCCTTTTTCATTCGCATATTATATTTAGACTCTTCAGCGCTTACTCGCTCAGATCGGATTGAGGTCCCGATCGGGCTTCGATGAGATTGGAAAGTGACACATGAGTGACGCTATACTTCGCCCTTCAGGACTCGCATACTGATGATCCTCGCTATCGGGAGCCGGTCACCCAATCCCGAGATAGGGACGACAAATATAAGAATACAGAGCGTCTTGCATGCTCCATGGCCATCCGATACACGCAGAGAGGCGCTCCTGAATTCAATTCTCGAGGTAAACGTCTGTGAATTAGCTAATCTCCCACACTTCCGCCGACCAGTCACGTTGATCGCTGATGATACTCGGTCGGAACACGCGGAAAGGAAGATTTTGTAAAAGCCCTTCATCTCGAACGTATTGTTGAGTTTTCCTCCGTTCATAGGGGCTCTCTCACTAAGAAAAATAATAAGGATAATAACGATACGATTGAAATCGGCAGCGATAAGCTTTCGGTCGAGCATTCCTCTCCGTTCTTCCCTTCCGTTGAAGGTGGCGTGAATGAAAAACAACAAAATGTTCCCGGTCGATTGGCCGGTGTTGAATACACGGAAGCGAATGTTCTAGAATTTTCTCTGTCGCCAATGAACAAACTTCACTGTTTCCCTCTGCCGGGGCTTCGAACTTCTCGGAGGAAACAGAGCCCATTCGGATTGACTAGTTTGAATGTTATCCGCCGTAGAGTCGTCTTCCATGTCTTTTTTGAAATCTTAAATATCTCCATAATGGTCATGCTCAATTGATATATTGTCATTATATCAATAGTATTCGTTACGTTCTCTGCCCCATAATAATTCTCTATGCCATAATTGTTGTCTTATTTGCATATCATCTCTATTGTCCGATCAAAATGATCGTCCTTAAACTATCGTAATCATAATGATGATCGGCGATTCCGTCGTGAACAGGTGGAATGAATCGGTCATTCTCATCGCGTGATGACACATCCGGAACGATATCATCCACGGAGAAAAAACAACACCGAACAGAATCAGGGTGCAATGGCACACATCCCCAGGCGCTTACACAATCACGCACTGTCACATACAGGCGTGCGGGAGGTCCTTGAGGAGCGTAAACGTCAAGTTCTTTAGTTACGACTATCACATCTCCAACTATGGCGAACAGATTTAGGGCTCCGAAAACGGATGGAAGGAGGTATCGAAGGCTTGGATTGTAGAACAGTGCAGGGAATATCGAATCTCTGAGTGAGCAATTCTTCCGAAGGAGTTCGATCCGGAAGCTCCGATCGAATCAACTCAGAATCCTGCGCTGCCGCGCTTTTTCCTATTCCGATCCGGAAACTGAGAAAACAGGAACGTCCCGAAAAGTGGAGAAGATGCGCTGATATCATGGCTTGATCGCTCCTCGGGAAATAATCAGTTTCATCGCACGATCAATCCACGAAACAGTGCCGAATACTCACGATCTCCTCTCCCCTCCCGTCTCGCCTATTGGGTTGCTCGTTCGCTCCCCGTCATTCATTCGATTCACGTACTCCAGCATCTTCAGCGCTGTATACGGCTTCCTGAGCCTACGAGTCGCACCAACGCAAACTCGAGTAGGTAATCTAGGGTTTTTGTTTTCAGCTCCGGTGAACAAGGATAAGAACGCGAAGGGTAGAAGAAGAAAACTGACCAAGGGGTGCGCGCGCCGTCAATCTGTCACATGGCAACGAGTGTATGAGTTGAGACCTAGCCAAACAGGGAGCGGTGAGCATAGCAGACAGACTACATATACATCGACCGCCGTATGAGCTCAGGCGGAGTCAAACACTCCATTATCTTCGTGGAAGTAATTCCCCGAGGATATTCCATCCGTCATCCCCGAATTACCCAATAAGGGCAGTCGATTCACCTCCGCTGGGGAGACTTTCAATTTCATCTGGTCCGTGAGCCGGGGAAATTTTTGGATTCGAATTTCCCATGTCGCCAATCGTAGCAGATTTAGGTCCCCCGCATCTTGTAGTCCACCAAGGTCTCAATATTTGCGGACATGGGAGATCCTTGAGAGATCTTTCGAGATTTTCGATTACGAAGAAGAACGGATTTTTCAACCCTATCGAACGGATCGGGGTCACGTTCGGAGAACGCAAGTGAAATCTGAGAGGACCGCCTGAATTCTCATCGACCCGAGTTCTTGTCTTCGGCGGTGCTCCGGTAGGCTTGTTGATGATGATTTTGATGTTCGATTCTGCTTAGTAGTCCTTCCCTGTGGCTAGTTGTAGTTGTGGTTGTAAAAGTAGTACGGGGCCTCCTCTTCTCGATACACTTATTGCCATCTTATTTGTCAGTTTTTGTGGTATCGATCACCTCTGTCCGCCCCCGATGAAGGTCTAGACGTCGTCACTTCGACATAACACGGATGTCGACCGTCCTGCAAGTAGAGTGAATGATTGCATTGAGAGGAGGGAATCTCATGGGAGGTAACTGACCAGTTCAGGAACGGTCTCCAGTTATAAGTTTGGTTCGTCCAAGTGTAGGATGAGTCCAGACTCCGGAATCGCAACGACGCTCACGAGAGCAGCCGCTTTCCGCTTGGGAGTCTGTGAGCGTCGCTCAACGTACCCTCCTTGTGCTCTGCTGGTGGAGTTGTTGAGTGTTCCGACCGATAATGAGAATCATTTCGTCGAGCCGCTCCTTCAGCCTCCGGTTCTCTTCTTTGTGTGTATTGAGTGCGCACGCGATCGAGCGCAATGCTGTGGCCACTCGCCGGTTGCCGTCCTGGGTAAATGATTTACGGTTAGGGCTCGAAATTTCCGCCACCTGGTGATATCGCAAAGCGATCTTTGCTCGTTGGAATCCACACACTTACTTTCACAATGTTCGTTAGCTGGTCTAGTTGTACATTCAAGTGCGCGATCTCTTCCTGCTGGTCTCGATTCGTCATTGCTATGTCCCGGAATCGTTGATTGATTAAGGTTACCTGAGGTTTCCATTCAGAAATATTACGGTCGCGCGTCCAACGATCGACCACGTCGGGAAGTCGAGCCATCAAGGCGCTCAAATTATCCTAATTCTGCTTCTCTTCCTCCTTGGGCATCCGACGCATAATGAGCGCGGATCACCAACGGAAAACTCACGTGGTCCTCAAATGTAAGATGTTCGAGGAGCTGTTTGCATGTACCGGTGAACGGACAACCGAATTCCGCCAGTGTACAGGACCAAGGCTTGAGATCGCAGCTATCCAAATGTGAAGGCATCTGCAAGGGGGATCAATGGGATTTCCTCGGTACTAGCGCTGCTAAAAGCTTATGGTGATTATTCTCTCGGGACATTCCCTGAAGAACGCTGAGATCTTCGATTTGCATACGACACAAAAATGTACTAACGTCTCGGGCGAGGATGTCCTTCTGTTGGCAGTAATCACAATCAATCTTTCTCATTGGACATTCGTTCATGTGTTCTTCCAGAAGCTCTCTGAAAAATGTTTAGGGGGGTTGAACGGTAATCTGCGAGTTTTCCCTGCTCCTCACGCCGGGACCAACTAAACACCATATGCGAATACAGCAGTTCGAAATATAATTGAAGGACGCGATTACCTGTGGAAATTAAAGTTGCAAAGTGGACAGCTTAGGGGCCTCTTGGCACATTTTGAGCCTAGATGATCGAACAAGTCCTTCGAAAGGCATTCCTCTTGGCATAGTGGACAAGTCTTTTTGTGGTACGGACAGCTCGATTGGTGGTTCTGATAGTTGCAAGAAAGCACCGAGAGTTATTCGCATATATTTCTCCGAGAGTCAGGGGCTATTCCCTCGGTCGAACATCGGAATTATTTCGCTTCCAAGTCATCAAGTGTTCGGAACGAAAAGCGCACCAATATCGATGGAACTTACCTTAGCAAACTCTTCGAGGGTATCGAGGAAGCCGCAACCGAGAGCGGAATAATTGCAACGAATCCTGAGGGAAATGATAATTTTGAGCTATGTCTCGTCATTTGACAAGCAGAGGGAATCATGTGACCAATCTACACATGTACTGACCGGAAATCTTTAACAGCAGCCCAAACATTCATATCCTTGTACATTTTCTCGGCTCTGCTTTCGACGCCGTCCATGGGACACAAAAACATCGACCGGTTCGATGGCAGAAGCTGGAGTCGACATTGGCCGCAGAAACTGTGTGAGCACGACGACCTACGGGAATCATGGTTCGTGATTGCATGCTATTCCCGCATTGAATTATTTTCATCAGCTATTTCCGGACACTCATGTCAGTCAGGAGCACCCCGAGTCAGTGACTAGAACCAACCTGAAAAGCACAGGACACACAGCCTGACAGATAACGCAGATGAGATTCCGTGGCAGTGGGAGCTCGAACTCGAGCAGAACTTCCCCCGGCAAACGTGGGAACGAGCGCAAAATGTGTTGGTACGTCATGGTGCACCTTGGCAATCGATCGATCGATAGCACGACCGATTGATTGATTGATCGAGCAAACGCTTCAAGTTCTATGATTGGACCGTCTGAGGTTTTGTGGTTGCTTGCTTGCTCGCTCGCTCGATTTGCACTGAGTGCTGACTTCGCCAGAGAGTTCCTCCAGAGAGCAACCTCCCGTTCTCTACTTGTACTTGAGCAGTTTCGACGATCACGTCCTTGTGTGGAGCTTCAGCCACGGACAGACAGAGAGACGAACAGACGAGTCGCCGCTCGAGGATTAGAACACTGTATCCGTGGATTGAGGTTACCTTGATAGGGATAATTGGCGGTACCGAACATTCATCATAGTCAACCGACCAGCGTCGCTAACTGTCGTATCATCTCCGGAGCAGTCTCGAGACCTCCCAGGTCATCCTCGATCCCCTAGCTGCTCTGACTGGGCGAGACACTGAGAAATCGCGCACTGGACGAAGACGGGAGCCGTTGCTTCGGTGAATGCTCGGCCACGCTGGATCCTCGCCGATCTTCAACGATTTACAACGGAGGTCCACATTGGGTCTCCGCTGAAGGCGAGCTCTCACCCCGAGAGATAATGGTTTACCTCTGAAGGGATCCACTCGAGATTTGAGCTTCAATCACAGCTGGCCCTGACCTTTGTTCGGGGGCGTCTTTCCGGACCGGATAATTGAACATTGACACGGAGATAGACATATATTCCTCAGAATGTTGTCTTCACTCGTTGCGTATCCCTGCTCTCGCGCTTTTTGAGTTATCTATTGAGCAACGTCGGTTCACAGTCTTTGTTGTTGTTGTTGTTCTTGCTTGAGATTGCTATCTATTTTGCGAAATAATATGGCAGTTGTCTCTGTTGTTTTGGTAGAATGTTGATGACGGCAGTGGGAGTGACGGCAGCAACAGCGACGACGTCGTCGAACGCAACCGTGGCTACGACGACGACCGCTGGATAGCACTTGCAACGACCCTGCTGTTTGCAAACGGGTCTCAGGGGTGGCAGATGTGTTGCGTGTCGGGCCACTTCAGAAGACGTTCGCTCCGTTATGCAATGCGCACCCCGAACACCGAGTCAACTGAGGACCGAGCCCCCAACGCGGTGGAGGGGTTGTCGTTGTTCGGAAACACTTCTGCTTCTGCTGCCACGGCTGCTGTAATTGCTGTCAGCGAGAACAGCGAACAGGAGCCATGGGCGTCTCCGCTCCTGGCGTCTCTGCGCCCCCTGCTTCGGTTGCTACGTCAAGCGTTGACGCAACCGCAGAGATGCTGGGCGGCCGCGGGCGTCCGGATGACTCAAATCTCTCACTCGACACGTACGGGGCTGTACATTTATACACGGAGGAGTTCGAATGAGGACAGGAGCGAAAGGACGCTTTCAAGGTCCTCGAATGAACGCATTCGACCATGCTCTTTTCCCAGGCACTGCGCGGGCATATAATTCTTTTTATGACGTCAATCCAATCAGTCAGAGGCTGTAATGTTCTAGACGACTACATGCGGTTCAGGTCGCCCGCCAAGGAAGGCAGAGCTTCTGCCCGCAGGGGTTCCATGTACGAAGGTTTCTAGCGAGCGGAGTTCGACGGCGGTACTTCGAATCCGAGGAGCTTCGGTCATCGCTACTCGTATACGTGTTCAGTGCCTGGACGTACTCGGATCAAGGAGGCGGGCTGGCGGGCCTTTATACGGGCAGTCGAATATGCGGCTGCGCGCGTAGGAACCGGAGCGGCTCATGGGCCGGATGCCGGAAAATGTTTTCCTCAACGAACTTCAACGCTGATCCACTCCGTCTCGTTCTTTAGGCCAGGGGTGGCCAACTTGGGTGAGCTGGGGGACCCCTGACCGGGTGAGCTGGAGTCGGCTGACCCCCTATTTCTCATAATGCACTTTTTGGCAAGCTTCGAATGCGAGGTTCGACGTTCAACTCGACGTGTTTGTCAGCAATGTCTGCAGACTTGATATTCTCGCTGCGAAATGTGCAGCGTTTAGTCACTTCAAGACAGTCCATGATTAATCATCATATTTTCCATTGGGGAATCTGACTCCGAATCTGACTCAGGCACCCCGTCGCGGACCCCCGAAAATCTTGCTGCGGACCCCCAGGGGTCCGCGGACCCCCACTTGGCCACCCCTGCTTTAGGCCATTGCCGTGATCGGTCGAAGCCACGGAAGCATTCGGCCGATGAACGAATTCGCAGACACACGGATCGACCAGCTTTGCGGTGACCGACGGGACAGTCGATGCTCCGCATCTTGGAACGCTACCAAGAATGAGCGACAGCTTCGGTCGAGATGACAGCTAGATAGACCATGATTTGAGCGCGCGGTGCATGTTGTGTCTAACTATCCGGCTCACGATAGGAAAATAACACATCTCAAGCAAGGTCGAATACTATACAGAGGTCGACTCGCTTGAAGCATTCACGATAATTTCAGGATAAATCGAATTTTCGGTTCGAAGCGGGCGGGAGGAATCGTGACGTCAGAGACATTGACGGTCATCGAAGAACTACGAACCGACACCAAGCTGCCTGCCACGTTTCATAGAGTCCATCGAGAGTTATACGTTCGAACCGTTCAGATAACATCGGGCTCATCTTGTTTTTGAATGGTCTGATGAGCTGTGTTTTCACTTATTCTAGGGGTCTTTCTGCTGACGACAAAGCTGACGTTGATCACAGCTGCGCGACCACGGAACTCAAGACGCGTACGTTTCGGAACGCATCATTTCATTTGAGAATCCGAGACGCCGCAGGATCGAGAGTCTCGAACGATCAAGGCCGCGCCGCTCGCACGGAAGAGCTTTCAAGTACAAGTCACCATCGTTCGCTCTCTCATTCATGTACAGATTCCCTCACTCGCAGTATTACGAATGCTCACTCGGCTTCAGGGTTCTGTCCATGGCTCGTTTAGCTGTGTCGAAACGTGATCTTGATTGCACTCCTCGAGTCAGAGTTCGTCAACCTCTCGAGAGAAGATGAACAAGATACTACCATGATAATTACATTCCTAGCTCATGTAGTGACTCACACCCCGAGCATATGTCGTGCTGAGACGCCTGAAGCTCGGATACATGAGTTCAAGTCAATAGCGTCCTTACTGATTCGGAGTGAGCGGACTTTTCTGAGATTCTTCTCGCTCGAGGCCGACGATCAATGCCTTCCATGTAGTCATCCAATCGAATGTCAATATTTCAAGGTGATGGATTTCCGGTCCGTAGTACAACGCTTTCTGTTACCGGATCACCGAAAGAACCGGTGCAGCGTAAATCGAACGCATCTATAGCCAGCCGGATTCTTCGCGCGATGCGTAGTGCGGCAGTTTCATATTCAACGCTTTGTTTCCATTATGCTGGTAAGGATATATCAGTCCGCTCCACTTTACGCGCCGAGTGATACGACCTTGATTTCGTCACCGCTTTTACGGGTAATGTCGGTTTTTGAGAAAGTTTGATGTTACGTTATGGAAGAGCTCCTCACTGAATACCCGTGTGCCGTACTGAAAGCGCCTCCTTCAACCGTTCTTGACCGCATCACTATCCCAAATTCCAAAATTCAAAATTTTCGTGGGAATGTCTCGGCGACGTGCTCCGGAACGGATCATTCACCTGAAAGGCCACTGACGGAGTCTTCTCCCTCAATCATGCTAGGAAGCTTGGCGACGTTCCTCTAAATACGTGTCAGAAAGATATAGAATACGTCGAACTGTACCGACCACGATCCAGGAGTTTAGAGTTTTTTGCCGCACACGTGATTGCCAGAGGTCAAGTGGAAAACTCGCCACGTAAGACGAGTATCTCGCTAGATCTCCTAGCGTAGATCCTAACTCGACCGATGCCGATATTTACTTTTTCAAACGGAGGGGCGCTTTCTGCAAGTGGTGCAAGCCGAATGTGACCATTGGAGAGAATCAAGATATGTCCTTATCAAGAAATGTCCCTATGAAACCTTAAGGCATGCCGCGGTGGAAACAGTGAGAATCGATGGAGGAGCAAACTGTGCAATGATCAACATCCTGAGTTGGTGTAGAACGCTCCCTAGATATGACTTTGGATTCTCTCACGGTATGTGGGACTTGGAAAATTCGGAATTGGCTCCGTGCAGCGGTGTACAAATCGACTGCCCCCATGATTGGATCACCAAGATTATTCCGGTTTCAGAATATCCGGCGGGAATCCCGAGTTTCTGCTGTTTCTTCGGGTCGCAGCCACATTCGTCTAAGACATCAAGCGAATCAGGAGGCAAGAAGCTCGAGATTGTCCGGTCGCATTCATATCGGGCGAGAAGGACTTCCACCCTAGCTCGCGATGAATGAAAATATGAGTAGCCCATTGATGCGCTCCCGGAGTCCTCGGCAGGGTGAGCTTGCATGGGAGCGCGAGTGCGATTCGACCTCAGATTCAGAAGTCGCAGGCGATCTGGGAAGGTTTCGTCAGAAGATCCCGCCACGAAGAAGCTGACTCCAACGGAATCTCTCTGTGCTCATTATGCGACGCTAGCCCATGAAGGATCATGAAAAAAATCAAGTGCTCATAAGGGACATGCTGACGACGCGAGGCAGTCAAATCATTCAGAGGCATCGTGAATCGAATAGTGTTCGATGATTGCGACATCGGAATTAGGAGCGGTCTGCTGATGAACGAGCATGCAGGCGCCCAGATCGGTCGATGTAACTGATCGCTAGGTCACGCAAATAATGTGTTGATCCGCTATTAAAGAGGAGTCGAGTGACGGATCCCATACCTATTGCTCGAGACTGCAGTGCTCCATCTGGCTCCGGGTTGTCCTATCCTCTCCACAGAAGAGAGGATAGTTTAGGACCGAGCGCACGCTAAATAAAAGCCCAGCCGACATCGAGTCGTAACACTGTTTGTAAACACCTCAGGAAGCGGTTGAAGTTAATCTCATCTGGATTAGTTCATCAAACCGTTTGTCGTTTACGAGGTGAGTTAAGGGCTATACCTCTGGGAATGGGAACGGTTCTCGGATTCA